CGGGCCCCAGCCCACGCGTCGGCGCGAAAGGGGGGGGGCCGACCCCGCGCGGGCTCGCGGGCACCCGCGGGCCGCGGGCTTGAACCGAAATGGAATCGGACGCGGAAGCGAGACTTCGGGAGGAGGGGTAGGGGGTTGCCCATGGACCCATTGAAGTCTTGGAGCTCCTCGAGCCCTCGGGGGCCTCTCAGAAGGGCCCCGCTGGTTCTTGCGACGGGGTCCCGGGGGAGGGGGCAGAGTGAGGGTGGCATTGGGAACCAGGAATATAAGTGAACTGGCGTCCCTTTGAATGTGCAGGTCTTGGTTCACTTGTTTTCGTCGTTGAACGGGCGGTGGCAACGTCGGTGCCTTCGCGCGCGCCCATGCCATTCTGGGTGAACGCCTTCGCCGTTCGAGCAGTGGGCGTCTCCCCGACGTTAGTTGGCGTGGGATCCTGTGCCTGACAGCGGAGAGGGGGGCGCAGGGACGTGGCGCGGGGGCGCGGAGTGGGCCGATTAGGGGAGGGGGGCGGCGGCATGTCCGCCTGAAGGGCGGAGGAGCGCATAGGGGTGGGGCGGGGGCGGCATGTCCGCCACGAGTTGGAAGGCGAGAAGGCTGCGCTACAAGGCGGCATATCCGCCACGAGGCGGCATATCCGCCACGACCTTTTTGTTATCCCGAGGCCGCCCCGTTGGCCTGGAGAGTTGAAGAGTCGTAGCGCGAATTACTCGCCGCGCGCCCTGGCGGCGAGCTCCTTCTTGACCAGCTCCTCCGCCTCCGCGTTGGCCCTGGCCTCGGAGCGATCGGGCGCAACGAGGCAGCAGGGGGCGGAGGGGGCGTCGAGGCAGGGGCGAAAATGAAGAGAGCGCGGAGGAGGGCGTCGAGAAGGGCGTCGGTGAGAATCTGGCCTTGTCGGCCTCATCGCCCGCGATGTACTTCAGGTTGACGTTGCTGCCAGGGGCGCCGACCCTGCCGCTGCGGAACTGCACCTGGGGGGCGGAGCAACGATGAACAGTCGCCTGAAAGGCGGCGGGCGCGCAAACTGCGACCCCAGCGGGGCTGCTGGGAATCGCCGCGCGCGCCCGACGCCTCATCGGTGGGAGGTTCAACCCCGCTCGCCAAGTTGCGGGTGGTCTGCATCTCCCACCTCGGCTTCGCCCACTTGCGCTGCTTGCCCTTCCCAGCCGCGCCGTCCGTCTTCTTGCCCGTGGGGAGCGGCGTCTTCTTAGCCACGTTGCCCGTGGCAGGCGGCGTCGTCTTCTTTGCCGCGTTGTCATTGCCAGGCGGCGTCGTCTTCTTAGCAGCACTGCCCGTGGCAAGCGTGGGGGCCTTCACCGCCTCGGCGTTCTTTTTCGTCTTGACCGCCTTCGTCCTCTTATCCATGGCCGCGACCATGGCCAGAGCCGCCTCCGTCGGGGTCTTCTTCAGAGAGCCTGCGGCGATGCCGACCTTCTCAGCCTTGGGCGGCGGCGTCACGGCGACGATGCCGATGTCGGAGTCGGAGTCGAGCTCGATCGGCAGCTCATGCTTCTTCTGCTTCTTCGCCGCGCGGCTCTTGCTGATCGAGGCCGTTTGGGCGGCGGCGGTGCTCGATAACGGCTGACAGTCGGCGGGTTTGCCGCCATCGTGTGCCGCCTGTTGCTGCGTCGACGGCGCATCCGAACTCCCCGCCGCCATCGAAAGCTGGTGGTTCGAACCTGCTCGTTCTTGCAACGGCTCCTGCGGCTGCTGCGTCTGCGAGCGGTCGATCAGCTGGATGGCTGGGTTGGGCCAGCGGCCGCCGCTGCGCGATAGCCCCACCTGAAATCAGGCGGATCACCGCCGAACGAAAATATCCCCCCCCCCCCCCCATCCCCCTAGGGGGATGGGGGGGGGGAATATTTCACAACACGCCCTCCATCCAGGCATCCAGAAACGTACCCCGCGCCGATCCAGGAACCCACCCCTCGACCCAATACCAGGTGTCCCGCGGGGGAATGCGTTCTGTTATTTCCCGTGGAGCCGTCGGCTAGCGCCCAGAGAACGAATCGGCCGCCGCGATGGGGAGGTGCTGCTGAGGAGAGCCACCGCCTGGGCCGTGGGATGGCTGCAGCCCGCCGCGGGCGGGCGCAGGCGCGGGCAGCGCGAGGTGGCCGCTCTTCTTCCCTGCACGGAGATTAATCAGCTTCGCAATCGTCACCATCTCGACGGGATTTATCTGCGGCGCCGTCGCTCCAACACCTGGCGGGGAGGCGTCGACGTACGTGATGGGGTACTGAGACTGGAGCCTCCCAGGCGTGATGGGGAGAGCCTGGATGCCATCCCTGGGCGGCGGCATCGTCGCCACGTGATTCTTGAACGAGGATTTCACTGTGGCCAGATATGACTGCAACAGCTCCCTCGTGATCTCGCCCGTCTCCACGCCTGTCTGCTTGCACACCGGCAACAAGAATGCTGCCATATTGGCGGCCGTCGGGCAGCTCGGATGCCTCAGGCCAAGCGCCCCGAGGTGCTCTGAGAACGCCGCCATCTTGGCAGTGAAGCCCGAATGCGGCGAGAGCACGAACTCCCACAACTGAGGCGTCAGAAATTCATTGAACCCCTCGTAGTTCTGGAGCTTCCTCCCCTGCAGGCTGCCCGACGACAGAGCCTGCAAGAAGTCTCCCAGCTCGGACTGCGCCCACCCCACGCCGCCGCCCAAAGCAGCAATCTGCGCACTCTGGAGCTGCGACCAGCGCTGGGACGTCGCCGCCTGGATGCAGGCAGGAAGGTGCTCCGTCGCACTGCCGCGCGCTACGAACGCCGCCCGCGCCTCCTCCTGGCGGCCTCGAAGGATGCCCTCCATGGCAGCGATGCGGCGCGACCGCGCGCCGAGCGGAGTGCGCGACTCCCCGCGCGCGCACGCCGCCCGAAGCCCTCGGAGGAGGGCTCGCCAAAAACGGATCGAGCCCACGCGCGTGCGACGGACATATCCTACTCCTGCTCTTCCTGCTCCTCCTCCTCCTCCCCCTCCTCCTCCTCCTCCTCCTCCTCCCCCTCCTCCCCCTCCTCCCCCTCCTCCTCCTCCTCCTTCTCCTCTTCCTCCTCTCCCTCCTCCTCCTCCTCCTCCTGGGTGAGGGGGGGCGCAGGGGGGAGAGGGTGTCGAAGGGGGGGGCGGGGGAGGGGGTGCCGAAGGGTGCGCGGGGGGGAAGAAGAGAGCTATGGGGGAGGGTGGGTCAAGGAGAGGCCAGGGAGGGGAGGGGGGAAAGGGGTGGGCGGCTTGCCGCCGAGGGGGTGGAAGGAGGCGGCAAAGCAAGCCGCCGATCGGGCGGTTGGGAAGAAGCGGTTTCCCGCCACGAGGAGGAGAAGGCGGTTTGCCGCCAGAGGAGGAGTCGGCGGTTTGCCCCCAGAAGGGGTAGGCGGTTTGCCGCCAGAGGAGGAGAAGGCGGTTTGCCGCCAGAAGGGGTAGGCGGTTTGCCGCCAAAGGAGGAGAAAGCGGTTTGCCGCCAGAAGGGCGGTTTGCCGCCACGGAGGGGGAGAAGGCGGATTGCCGCCATGGGGGGGGAGAAGGCGGATTACCGCCGACGGAGGACGAGGCGACGGAGGAGAAGGCGGTGCGCCGCCTAAGGAAAGGGGGGATAAGGGAGGGCCGAAGACACATGGATAAACATTTTCCTCCTTCCCTCCCCCCTCCCCGCGGGCATGCGCGCAACCCGCAGCGCCGCGGCCGCGAGGTACAGCAAGTACCTGCGGCGCCTCGGTCCTGAACAACTGAACAACAACAACAACGGAAATTCAATGGATTTCAAAAAAGTTAAGAATAAAAAATACGCAATGATTAGCAAAAACACGAATATGTTCAGCCCCATCGACTTAGCAGAGATATCTAACTTAGTATATTACTTACATCTACACTTACAAACACCATAAGTATTGCATATGCACACATGAGATGCGCGATCAACAAGTGTACGTTCTATGGCTTAACTAAGATTATGTAAGATGAACGCTCTTACCGCACTTACAGCCACCCGACGATCAAAGTGGGTCTCGACGCCTCCCCCGGGGGGGCCGGCCTTGCAGCCCGAGTCGTTCTTGCCCGACGGCCCCAGCGGCCCGAGGCAGGGGCCCCGAGAGGGCCGCCCGTCGTGGCGTCTGCAGGGCCCGATGGGGGCCTGGGAAGGTGGACGTACGTCGGGCCTGCCCCCCTGCAGGAGAAATAGTCCAAAACAGGAGAACATAGTCGGGGGACGACTGTTTGAGCTTTCCTTTTCGTTCCTGCCATCTTGGGTCTGCTTTATGTTTCGTCCAGAATCCAGAATCCCCTCTGTAAGGGGGACAGGCCCGACTCAAAGGTGGGCTCGAGTCTGGGTTCCGGGTTTCCGGAGCGTCCTGGGCCATGCGTCTGTGGGCCTACCTCCGTCGGAGCCCCTCTGGCCCGTGGGTGTGCTTCCCGGGACCGGCGAGGGCACCGAGCGAGAGCGGGCGAGAGAAGGCGAGCCGTGCCACTCCGCGTGCGGTGCCCGCCCCGGCTTCGCGCAGGAGCGGCCCGTCGCCAGAGGGACTTTGCAAGGACGAGGAGGAGGACGAGGAGGAGGAGGAGGAGGACGGGGAGGAGGAGGAGGAGGAGGAGGAGCAGGAGGAGGAGCAGGAGGAGGAGGAGCAGTGCGGGCCCACGGGGGCCGAAGCGCCTGCGAGCGCCTGCGAGGGCAGCCACTGGAGCCTTCGGTGGAGCTCCTCATGGGGCCACGAAGCGCTGTGCTGGGTGCGTGACAGCACGTGGTCGGCGTTGTGAGGGCGGGTTTCCTCCACGTCGGGCGGGCCAGTGGGGCGCGGGGCGGACAGGCGTCGAGGTGCAGGCGGGAGGGCTGCCGAGAGACTGCGCGCTTGGTCCACTGCAGGAGGAATATTCCAACACAGTTTGTTTGAAGTAGTCCGGGGACGATGTTTCGACGTTGTTTGAATCTGTTTTGATTTGATTTGTTTTGGCGATTTCCTATTTCTCGCCCAACATCCGCCTGTAGGAGGACATGCCCGACCTAAAACTGAGCCCACCGTGCAAGATAGAGAAGTTCTGCGTGCTGGACATCGACCCGGACACCATTACGTGGAAGCGCGTCACCGACTGCAACGACAAGTACCTGCGAAACGTCCCCCCCCCCGCCTTTCTTCTCGAGGCCTCGCACGTGATGCGACACTCTCTCATGCACTGCCGCGGCTGATTGCCCAGTGCCACATGGCACCTGCCCAGGGCAAGTTGTAGGAGGAGGAGGAGGAGGAGGAGGAGGAGGAGGAGGAGGAGGAGGAGGAGGAGAGAGGAGGAGGAGGAGGAGGAGGAGGATGGAGGAGGAGGAGGTAGGAGGAGGAGGAGGTGGAGGAGGAGGAGGAGAAGAGGAGGAGGAGGAGGAGGAGGAGGAGGAGGAGGAGGAGGAGGGAGGAGGAGGAGGAGGGGAGGGAGGAGGAGGAGGAGGAGGCCACCTTCGGCCCTGAGCAGGCGCCGCTTCCTGGCCGCCTGTTGCCGCAAGGAGGCCTGCACGTTGGGGCCAGGCCGGGGGTGCTGCGGGGCGGTCCCCGCAGGTGTCTGCGGCGCCACGGATTCGGCCCCAGGCCAGAGGAGGATCAGGAGGAGGAGGTGGAGGAGGAAGGAGGAGGAGGAATGGAGGAGGGAGAGGAGGTAAGGAGGAGAGGAGGAGGAGGGTGAGGGGAGGAGGTGGAGGGAGAGGAGGAGGAGAGGAGGAGGAGGAGGAGGAGGAGGAAGAGGAGGATCAGGAGGGATTTGAGGAGGAAGGAGAAGGAGGAGGAGGAGGAGGAGGAAGGAGGAGGAGGAGGAGGAGGTGGAGGGAGAGGAGGAGGAGGAGGAGGAGGAGGAGTCTGCGGATGACGAGGGCGAGCTCTCTCTCACCACAGCCGCTCCGGCCATGTGGCCGCCCTGGCCCGCAGGCGTCTGTGGCGCTGCGAAGACGGCCCTGGGCTGGAGGAGGAGGAGGAGGAGGAGGAGGAGGAGGAGGAGGAGGAGGAGGATCGGCGACTACAGCGCACAGCAGTAGCTCGAGCATTATTACATTGATCTCGCAACCATTACTTAATCCGCTCGTTTCAAGTTTGAGCTCGCACTACTTATCGCCAGCCAGTACCGACCTTGCCAGCCTACCAGTGCTCTCAGTATTATTTCAATTGTGGGCCAGCACGACCGAGCTCAGCGCATACGTTCAGCACGTATCCTGGCCAGCTCACAAAAGCTGCCAAAACGCCAGCACCCACACACATTGTCGCTACTAAGTCTGTCCCGCCAGAGTTGCTGACTTCTGGGGAGGTGGATGTGGGTGTTGCTTCACGCCATCTTCGCTGCCATCCTTGACTTGAGAGCGGGTCTAGGTAGTGGACGGAGAGTTGAGGGGGGGAGTTGGCTCTAGTGGCATCGTCCACGAGATGCCCGTACACGACGACGCCCACTGTGCACGCGTCGTCCTTCCCTCCTCCATTCTTGTGGTTTCCTTGGGAGGTGTTGCTTGAGATTGTTGTCTATGGTTGTCTGGTATCTCCCCATCACCTGTCGCCGCGGACTGGGTTGCTCTCGCCCGTGAGGGCTACTGCTCTTTACCTTTCCTGCTTGAATTGCCGTTCCTGCACCCGTCCGCGGTCTGACTCGTGTGTTGTTCCGCCTGCGTCGCGAGTAGTTGCATCATTGCATAACGCAACAGGCCCCGCCTCACGTTTGCCTGAAAGTTCTTTGATTTTTTGGTGGGCCAGGGTCCTTTCATCTCCAAGGGTTCTATCCTGGGCCTCTTCCTGGCCACCTGGGGGGCCAGGAACACATAGAAACGAGCACAATCAGAAATGAGCACGACTAGAATTGGACGACGTGTAGGAATTGGCGGCTGAAAAGGATGTGGTTACGCAGGGGTGTGGTCCGCGAGCGGCACCGCTGGGGACTGGGGAGCACGACGCTTTCCTCGTCGGGCCGCCTCTGGGCGCGGCAAAGCGCTCCGTCGAGGCCCTCGCCCGTCCCACCCTGGGATGCCTCCCCAGGGTGCCGGTTGCAAACCACACCCTTTGCGAACCACGCCCGTCGGATCCGCCGAAAGGAGGAAGGAGGGGGAGGAGGAAGAGGAGGAGGAGGATGAGGAGGAGGAGGAGGAGGAGGAGGAGGAGGAGGAGGAGGAGGAGGAGGGGGGGGGAGGGAGGGGGAGGAGGAGGAGGGGAGGAGGAGGAGGGGAGGTGAGGAGGAGGAGGAGGAGGAGGAGGTGGAGGAGGAGGAGGAGGAGGAGGAGGCGGTGTGAGGAGGAGGAGAGGAGGGGAGAGAGGAGGAGGAGGAGGAGGAGGCGGAGGAGGAGGAGGAGGAGGGAGGAGGAGGAGGAGGACTCACCCAGACCTCCGACGTTTCACAGCCCTGCCCCTGGAGGTGCAGCAGGACCTCCGACGTCGCAACTCTTTCACAGCATGGCTCATCGGAGGTCCAAACCTTTTTCTTTGGGACTGGCTCATCATCCTGAGGCGTTTCTGCACGGCCCCGTGGCCCTGTGAGGGCCCCCAGAGGGCACCCGGGGGCCGAATTCTGGCAAAACAGAGCCCCTCGCGAGGTTCCCCCAACGGACTGACGAGGAGGAGATGGAGGAGGAGGAGGAGGAGGAGGAGGAGGAGGAGACGGAAAGGAGGAGGAGGAGAAGTAGGAGGAGGAGGAGGAGGAGGAAGAGGAGGACGAAGAGCAGGATGCGGAGGGGAGGAGGCGGAGGAGGAGGAGGAGGGGGGGAGGAGGAGAGGAGGAGGAGGACGAGGACGAGGACGGGGAGCGGGAGGCGGAGGCGGAGCGGAGGCGGAGGCGGTGGCGGAGAAGGAGGAGGAGGAGGGAGGAGGAGCGAGGAGGAAGAGGAGGAGAGGAGGAGGAGGTGCCTGGGGATGGCGAGGGCGCGCTCTCTCTCTCTCTCTCCGCAGCCGCTCCGGCCAAGTGGCCGCCCTGGCCCGCGAGGCCCCTCTGCGCGCGCGCGCGCGCGCCGCGCCCCTCGGCGGCGCGGCCGGTGCCTCGCCCGCGGGCTGGCCCGCACAGCCGGGCGCGGCCGCGGCGCTCGGGCACAGCCGCGGCCGTTGCCGCGGCGCGCGCGCGCGCGGGCGGCGCGGGGGCCGCCGGTGCAGCGCGGGGCCGCGGCCGGACCGCGAAGCACGGTCCGGCCGAGGCGCGGCCCCTGGCACGGCGCGGTGCGACGACGGGCGCGCCCTGCTGGTGCCCGGATCGCCGCGGGGGGGGGCGGGTCCTGAGGGAGGCGGGTCTTGGGTTTTTGTTTGCTCACCCGGCGCCTTCCACTGCTCGCGACGTGCCTACTCGCAAACGCCCGCAGCACACACACACACACACACACACACACACACACACACACACACACACACACACACACAGAGGCACATATACACACACAAACACACACGCACACACACACACACACACAGACACACACACACACACACACACGTGTCTGCTTCGATGTGAATTGTTCGTAGGTTCCCCGCGTCGGATCCAGGCCATTTGCGAGCAGTTACTTTGCGAGTGGTGGAACGCGCTGGTCTATGTTTGGCTCTCCCGGGACCCGAGGGAGAGACGGGCCCCGAGGGAAGCGGATCCTGAGAGGAACAGGTCTTGGGGTTTGCTCGCACTTTTTGGCTCCCCGGGGCCCTCCACGGGCCCCGTTTTCCCTCGCCCTTCTTTCTTTTCTTTCCACTTGCTCTCCCCAGTCGAATTTTCCGTGCGCGCTCTTCTTTCCCATGCGCCATGCGTCCTTCCGGGTGCTCGGCTTTGTGGTGGTGGTGGGGCCCTCCACGGGCCCCGGGGACCGCCCGAAGACGACGCAGGATGAAGAGCTGGTCCTGGGGCTGAGGCCCCATTGGTCCAGGACCCGCTGCCCCCGGGACCCGCTTCCCCCATGCGAACCGGACAGCTCGCCGCTACCCGCAGAGGGCCTGCTCACAAGCGTCAGCAGAGCGCACGTTCGCCGCGTTGTGCCCTGGGCCCCCAGCCTCGAACCTGTCCCTGTCCCTGAGCTTGCCGCGCCGAGAGGCGACGACAATCTTGGGGATGCGCCCTCGGGCAACCGGGCCGTGGGGTCCCCCGCGGCGGGTCCGGGCCCCGTGCGAGCAGCTACTCTGCGAGTACCGTGGCGCGCGCTCGTCGCTACCCGCAGAGGGCCTGCTCGCGAGCCTCTGTATATATTATAGATGATGGTGATGATGACGATGATGATGATGAT